AGCGCTGGAGGGGGGGGGCGGGGTACAGTCGCGCGCGTGAATCTCTCACCGTCGCAGTCGTCCGCGAGGATGTATCCAACAACTAGGCTCCTGCCGTGCGCGCGCTGCCGTCAATGTAACGGAATCACATGTGCCCCTGTGATCTAACGGCGGCACTGTTCTGTTTCTCTGGGCTCGGATGTTCCGCGCGCTCCATACACAATTCAACTGGGAAATCAACGCACACCAGCCATGGCGCTGGTCATGGAACCCATCAGCAAATGGTCCCCAAAGCAGGTGCTGGACTGGATGAAAGGTAAAAAAAAAATTTCCCCCGCAGTGTCTCTGCATGACCTATAGCCGGTGGGAGAGGAATGGGTGAGCGGGAAGAGCGCCTGGACTGCATGCGGGCTGCGCGAGGCTCTGCCTGTGCCGTGCAGTAAGGTATTGATCGCGCTTGTGTGCCATTTTGCGCCTCTGCTCGGCGCACCATAGTGTGTGTGTGATCCGCACAGCGCTACACGCGTCGCGCAAGAGGGGTTGTGCGTGTGGTCTGGGGATGCGTGATGTGATGTGTATGTGTCTGTGTGCGCGCAAATAGAGGAGCAAAAACGGTTGTTATGACACAAAGGACGACATGGCGTTTTCATACAGTGCCTAAACTAACACTTACGTGCATGTCTGCACACACAGATAGTAACAGTGAGAGAGAAACAGAGAGGCTGCTTCTAGCCTCAGTGAATAAATCTCCCTCTCGCGCAACGATAACTAGCACCATGGACAGAACCAGGCCGTCGCGCGCTGTGCTGCGCTGCGGATGCGCGTAATCTAGGGACTAGAAGAGGGATGACGGTATCTGTGGAAACCAGCTGAGCATTGACAGTTCCCCCATTGCAAACATTTATTCCTTTAAAATAACTAGTAACATTATGTTACTAGTACTTGGGGTTTATCTAATAGTATCTTTAAATTGTGAGTTTTACTAGCAATTGTTTAAATTCCTGCGCTTCCTACAGTGACTACTATCTCAGTACATACTTTGTCTCAGTACATACTAGTGTGTATTTATTTGCTTCTAGTCACTTGCACAAGTAACTATTCAATTATTACTGGTAACAGATTGCACATTTCTTGCGTGAATTCTGTTACTGCTACCTATTTATGTTTTATTCATTACACTGAAAAAAATGGCGTAGAAACAATTTTAACTCAGAAATTGCTAGTAAACTTCACAAACAATTACAAAGAAACAGCAACACAATGAATTAAATGTGAAATTTTGAAGTAGAAAGTATAAAACATACTCCAATAATCTTCGTTTTATTTACAACTTTGAAAAATATTTCTATGTACTAGTTGACCTACTTATTTCCCCTAAAATAAAAGAATCCTAATAGTTATTAGTGTCTATATTTCAGCTTTACCTGTACTTATTTTTAAGACTATTGTGTCTATCCTAATTGTAACATTTCTCATCTTCTTACAGTTGCTCTTTTTACTTGTCATATGCAATGACTTGTCGAAATGGCTACTTTATAGTAATGGCTACTTTATATTTTTATACTTGATAGTAGTAAAATATTACTAGTATTAATTGGAATAAAGAAAATGTACTACTGTCTGTTTAGTTAGTACTAGGAAAACTGGAATATATTAACTATTTAAACAGATGCAGTTAACTAAAGAATAAAATAATATCCAATAATTGAGGAATTGAAAAGTCACAGTTATACTTATTGATAATTAAAAAAAATTATATGCTATGAACATAAATATAGATATTTAGTTTTAAGGAAAACATGTTAAAACAGCCTTATAAAACCGCCTATACCCCATACACACACAACAGAAGGAAGCAAGAGAGAGTATCCGAATGCTGTTTGCAGATAATTGAAGGCAAACCGTGCGGGTTTCGTCATGCACTTATAGCTCAGGGATGTGGACTTGCTGTTTGTTTTTTGGGAAACACTGACAACATTTTTAAAAAGCTACACAGTCATAATAATTGGTATCTGATTAGAAATCATTTTCCATCATTGACATGCTCTTCTTCAGATGACATGTAAAGACACACTGATGGATGATACACAGATGCTATAAGTAGAACATAATGGAGCAGCTGTGGTGGAGAGACAGAGGGCCAAAATACCAGCAAGATCAGACGTAATCTGAAGTGAAGTTTAAGGGCATTAGTGCACATGACATTCAGTTGCTCATAATCTCTACCCAATGAGCATTTCAAAGGTCAGATAGCCTTTGCCACCAATCTAATAATGGACAAGTGTACACAGGAGAATCAATAATGGTTTTGATCTTTATGTCCAAAACAGCCATACTGTAATGAAATTATTTTGTAGATGCTTGTAGACCAAAGGCCATTATATGTCTCACAGGCCTCTGAAAACAGGCAAAAGGGCCCCCATAGATAGTGGATAAATTTTTTCTCTTTCTTTGCTATCACTTGTATTATTGCAATGTAAGTTCATGTAATCAATGAATTAATCAGTGTTTCTTACAGAATCTTACATATTCAGTGTCGAAGTTCAGTAAATCAAGATTCATTCTACTCGTTTTTTTTTTAACAATTTATTAAAAGAAGCAGCTGAAAAGAGCAACATATTTGGAAATCAGATTACCCTGATCACGCTGTTTGTTTTTGATTCATAAAAGAGTATCAGCTCATTACGATGATTTTGATTCACTGAAAAGAGACATTTGATAAGAGACAATTATTCGTGAATCAGACTACCCTGATCGTGCTGTATGTTTTTGATTCATAGAAAAGAACCGGCTCATAAGAATCTGAATCTGTCTGCACTGTTTGTTTTTGCATGCAAGCCTGTGAGGATATCTCAACAGAAAGATGCTTCTTGACAGACTTCGAACACACATTCACAACTAAAATAAAATAGATTAACTATGTATAGTATGCTGCTAAAAAGCGGTGTAGGATCACTGATTAGTTCTGTTTTTAAGAGAACTAGGTTTCATGGTCTGTTGTGCAGGACGGTTTCCATTTTCAGGAACTCGGTTCACTGTCTCAGGTGCAACTGTAAACTAGCAGCTTGTGCATAATTTTCACATTTACTGCTGACAAAGAGTTTGTCAGACCTCAGAGCACCTGGTCCAGGGTCAGTTTGCTGGTATGGATGCTTGCTATTTTCAAACTTTGTGTCAAATTTTGTTTGAAATTCTGCACAAGCAAACATCTGTCAGCGTGATTGGTATGCTGTTTTGTGTCTATTGTTTACTGTTTATTTCCTAAATTGTATTTATTGTCTGCTGTTTTCGGCTAGCTGCCATTACCATATTTCTGTTAGGCGTATATTTCATTCTTCTTTTTTTACCCTTGGCAGAATGACAATAAAAAAAACTAGCATTGGTGCAGAGATGTGGCATGTGCTGATGATGTCTGTAGGGATAATCTACCTCCTCCTCTAACATTACAGACATCTTGTAATATAAACCTCTGCTGAGTGCCCAGTTTTGACCTTTTCAGCTTACATTTGAGAAATCATCATGCAGGTTGACATATAATAGGGTCTTAAGCCCAAGATAACAGTTAGGATTGTGGCTCTTCATTTGGTTCAGCAGTTTTGTTTTAGAGTTAATTTCTTATGGTTGCATTAAATATTGAGTTGTAGTTAAGATATGGCAGTCATTTCAAAAGTGTTCTGTTTAACAGAAGAAACCATGTCAACACGTGTACTATTTGGAGTTTGTCTGTCTGCAGTGGTTCTTCCCAGTGTTCATTGTTACTGCTACCCTCCTGTCGCTTATCAGATCATTTATCTCCACTGTTCTTTTAACAAAATGAGTGCACACTCCATAAGCCCTAGTGGCGCACTTGTTTCATCTAATAAAACCTTTCCAGAGACCCAAGCATTTCATTTGCAAACCTATTCAGCTTGTTGCTATCTCTGCATATTTTAGGGTTACATGACAATACACCAGTGCTTTGGTCAGGTGTTTAAAGGGCGACTTTGCAGATTTTTAACCCACTTTGTGTTGTTACATGTCAGTAGTATATGTAAACGAACAATGTGTATTTTTCTCTTTGTTACCTGCACAGAAACATCCATTTATTTGTCAGCAAAAGTTTTACGGATGACGAACTTCAGATCGTACTTCTGTATTTTTGTATCATCGCTTACGGACAGTCGGATTGAGCCCAGTGCTTCATGGGTGTTGAAGTTTTCCTCCCTTTTTGGCAAAAGGGCATTCCATAGCCCCTTTTCTCTGTTTTCTCTAATCATATAGCACCATTTTAAGTTTTTAGTTTTACTAAAAGCCCATCTTGTCAGCGGTGAATTACCCCTTTAAACTTTAGCTGTTCAGAATAACCTGCTATCACACTACTTTCACTGTTTCGGCAGTATATAGCATGCAAATTTTCTGTATGAACAGTTCAGATGAACTGTAATACATTTGCCAAAATGTGCATTATACAAGAGCTCACTGCCCTGGCCTGAATACTGTATCCCATAATGCTAAGTGTTCAACTTGACCTTTAATTTTCAGTGTGATAAATACATCAGAAGAAATATTGACGAATTTATATCTACTTCGTATTTAATCAGACTGCCAAGAATTAATAAGACATTAAGAGACATTGCCAAAATTTTTTTTTACAAATTAAACCAACAATTTTGACACACTGCAATGTGGTCATGTGTGAACAATATAGCATATTTCTGTTTGAAATGTTTCGCTATGCCTACTGCATACTGCTTCACATTATGCTTTTACAAATAACTGACAGTTCCGTTTTCCAGTATACTATTCTATCTGAACACTGAATTTTTCTTTTCCAAGAGATAATACTTTAGCACCTGCAGTTGGGTTTCACAGTTTCATTGAAATTTGGCAAATGTATTCATCAAGCTATCCTTAAGTCATGTAGGGCACAGTTAAAGCAGACGCATGAAATAAAAATCTGGACATTCATAGTATTTAGTTCATGTTAGCTTTGAGGCCATGTATTTACCTTATTTATTCATTTGAAAACAAAAATCATGCACTCTTTGAAATATCCCATTAGAACATACTGTTTCTCTAGGAAATATTCACATGTATGTATTTGGCAGATGCTTTTATCCAAAGTGACTTACATTGCATTCAAGGTACACATTTGATCATTTCTTGCTTTTTGTGGAAATCAAACCCATGACCTTGGCGTGCTACCACTGTGTTCCACTGTATGAGCTACAGGAAGGCTGAATATGAAATAAAACTGTACTCGTCAAGCCTTTTCATGGGATTTTTAAGAACACAGTGGTTCTATATACAGACTGGATTTCCAGAAACTTCATTCTA